TTTCCCACTACCTAAGGCAATGTATGTATTCATTGGTAGGGGAAATGGTGTCTTTTAAATATTTCAATTAAAAAATCACACATTGTTGAGACAAATTAATGGCTTTTCTGAAATAACTACAGTAGGTGAGGCTGTCCTACTTAAGTTCCAATATGGCTTCAACACAAAGAGTTAAGAAAGGCTTCTAGGCAGCAGAAATTGATCTTATCCCATAGAATATTCCTTGCCTCAGGCTTGTTGCCTCTCACTTAAGCATTTTAAGTAGCAGAATTTCCAGAAGAATTGCACATGCCCTGTTGGTCTCAATACCATATCAAAGGATCAGCACCTAAACTCTTACTGAACTGGCTGATGCACAAATGTCAGACCTCCCTATGCTGTCCAGAGGAGATTCAGTTCTAAGGATTTTAAGACTACATCACTCTGTTCTAATGAAGGGTGATTAAAACGTAGAGATATACTTCACATTACGGTGTTACAATCAAGGAGTAGGAAGTCAGTCTTTGCTACAGAGAATTTAGGTACAGTCCCTTGATCTTTCATTTCACTAGTCAGATCGCCAAACTGAGGACCAGCTGAAACCAGTTGAACCCTTGCACACTGCTGCCCTCACTTCAGATTTTCAAAACAAAGCTCTACTTTGGTATCCAAAGAGTCTAAAGTGAATATAAATTATTGATAGTGTTATCTACAGTGGAGGTCTGCCCCAGTTTCAGCCACTGGTGTAACTGCATCCCAGCAAACCTTAGAAGCAGCAGAAAAATCCACTCTTTTTGCTGTACAAGTTTACCCCTAGCTCAAATCAGGTTGGTTTTCTGTAAAAATAGTGGCTTACAATGGCGTACTTCAGTTGGACTAGCATTTTTACGGTGCTCAGGAGCTGTGTGCTGGTAGCTAAACTCAGGCCACATTCTCAGTAAAGACAAGACCTTAATCGGAAGCTTTAGCACTGATAATAGTCCCCGCTGTCTGTGGACCAAGTAACATCTCAGAGAGAGACACATTCTCAGAACTTTTAGAACTGCTCACCTTCCATACCAAAAAATACCCTCCCTGAACACCAGAATTCATGAGTTCATTCTGTCTCAGACTCTGGAGAGCTTATGGCTAAAGGAGTTTGAATGCTATCATCAGTCAGGTGTTAGAGGCACGCACTAGAAAACGAAAGGCATTTCTTTCAGCCTGAACACTCCAAGTTCATATCAGGCAGGCGTTTGACTAGGCATTTCTTCTACAAGAAGAATCTTTAAATTGTTGTTAAAATGTATGCATTGGGAGGCTCCTGAAACAGACTCGAGGGCTGCGCTTGAGGGACACAAATAACAGCTCATTAAGGTTAAAAGCTAAACACCAGTGATTGAAAACATCTTAAACCCTGCTTCTCAGTGCTAGTTTTTAAAATAATACCGAAGCAACAACAACCACTAAGAAAATGTAACCATTTGAAACAACTGCTGTGTCTTTCATGCTATTTACTGATCAGTGTCAGGGGATCATTAATGTCTGTATACGAAAAGCTTTTGTAAGATTAAATCAGTGGCAATTTAACAGGGTACAATGCAATGTCAGATTTCAGTCCAGACTCAATCCAGGGCACATGTCATGGGGAGAGGATGAAGGAATATCTGTGCCTTAAAAGCGGATGCCAAGAGATTCTTTTTTAGTATTTGCTTCCTCTGTTCTTTCCAAATGGTGCAATATACCAAATACTTAGAAGGAACTGGTCTTTGTTTACTATCAGCAGTGGTTAGCAATTGTTCAAAAAGAGGATAAGCTGCTGATCTCTTTATAAGTGCAGTTCTTGGGAGATTGCTGCATGTGTGTGATAAGTTAGACTAGAAAGAATTCTACTGATACCACATGTGAAACTTGGAATAACAACTCGGCCACAAATTAAGTGTGCCAAATTCAAACGTGATGCACAGGGTAAGTGTGTTTCTTGGGTTCAGACTTTATGGAACAGCAAGGAAGCAAATCTGCTTTGACTGCATTTACACAGGGGGGAGTCAGAAGGTGACATCTCACTTTTGAGTCACACATTCATCCATCCTCCTAGAAGAAGGCTGCTATATCTTTTTTATCAGATTAGATTCTTTTACACGCAGAAGCTTCATCTGCCTCTATAATATCAATTAAAATGTGTAAAATATGTCTGGGTTTGTTGGGAACATGAGAAAAATCACCCCAACTGAAATAAACCAGGAAAGCCTTAGAGTAGATAGAGTTATATCAACATAATAGCCTTTATTCTGTAACGGAGAGATCTGTAGAGAACTTCTGTTGTTAGTATAAGTTGCTTCTGCACTGAAGAGAGAAATCTGGCTGGTATAGTTCTCCCACTCTAGTGCTGCCAGGAAATAATTCTAAGCACAGACAAGGCATTCAGTGGGACAGTCCTCTACAGATTTGCACCTGGTGTGACCACTTACATCCGTGCAAAATGGCACCAGCATGTCCAGATGAGGATAATAGTGTTTTACAGTCATGTGGCATCAATGTAAATGACGAGAGAAGGTGCAAGGTAGGGCAAAACCAGGCCCAGGTGCTCTCATTCAGAGGGGTGTGACAGTGAGTCCAAGCATGGAATTAAACAAGCAGCTTTTCAGCAGTCATGCTGGTGTGTCCTCCACTTGCCCACAGCCGTCTATTCCCACACTACCCTGTCTCCACACTAGCCCATTTCTGCCAGGCAGCGGCAGAAGGAGCTGGACTGGAGAATATTACAGGGTTCATAGCACAACCCTACCAGCAGCTGTGCAGCCACGGCAGAGTGTCCGGCACTGGGACATAAGCAGTGCCACTGCTGCATGCCAAGCAAAGGCCTATGAGAGCTACTCTGAAAGAGTCTAAATAAGGAACTACTCTTATTTTTGTAGACAGCGAATAAACAAGACAGAGGTGTGCAGTGCCACTCATATCTGACAGTCTCACTCTACATGAGTAAGTGGTTTGCTTGCCCAGAAGTATTTTTGCAATTGGGATTAAATTTATGTGACATGAACAGTGGTGTACCAGAAAGCAGTGTAAATTCCACCATTATGGTCTCATTACCCCTTCTGAAAGGGGTCTGATGTTGCATTGCACCCACTGGTAAGAGTATTAAGCCAAGGACTGTCTCAAATAAGAGGCAGCACATAGCCAACAGGGAGCTGATTTACCTCAAACGCAAAAAAAGAGAGATGTTCTCATGGCTTGGGTATGGTGAGCTGGACTATGGCAGATTTAACCTGACCTATGGTAAGACATCGTTGCACTTTTTAACTGTCCACTCTTACCTTTCTGCTGGGAATACTGCCTTCTGCAGGACAGTCATCAAAAGGTACATGTGTTATCTCAACCATTTCAGTGTAAAGTGCAGCATTTCAGGTCAAACCGTTGTTCATAAGGACTTAAGAGACATGCAGAGAATGTATATCTTTACATCTGCCAGCTGTAATGTACAGACAGTAATTTGTATCAGAGGAGGCAGGCAGTCTTGGAGAAGAGCAGCCTCCCAGGTGAAGAACCATTCCCCTACCTGAAAACTATGTTTATCCCACATATTTATAGCACTTGGGAGAAGTTTATGCCACTTTTCTGGCATGTAAAGCCATGCCCTTAGTGACTAGTAGATAAAGAAATGAAGACATTATAATTATTTATAACATTTGGAAAAAAAACACATTCATTATAGGGCTTCTTTCAAAAAGCACATATACATCTAAGCTTTTTTTTAAATGATGTGGTTTTTATATAGGTGAAGTCGATATAAAGTTGAAATAGTGCAATTTTAAAATAAAAGTTAGTGCAGGAGTCAAACTACAACAACAACAAAAAACAAAACAGAAGTTGTAGATTTTTTTTTTTTTTTGGTGGCAATACATTACTGCTTGGGTTCAAAGGAAAGCATACAGATCTGTTTTCAAAAGCACCGAAGTGTACCAAAGTGCTTTTGAAAAGTATACACCCTCCCATTAGCTCTCAGTGAGATTAAGAGTTTCTTTTGGGAATGAAACTAGGATGCTTTTGGAAAGAGCATGTCTAATCTTAGTGTGGGATTTGGTTTTGATGTCAGGTGACAATGTCTAACAAGCTGCTATCAGTCAAAGAGATACTATCAAATAAAAAAGTGCATTTCCTTTGTTAATGTTACAAGTAACAGCAAGGAAAATAATTGGAGAAATATTTTCTTCTCATGTACATTTAACAGCACTTTGTAACTCATTTATAGAAGTGGATAACATCCCATCAGTCTTTCAAACAGCAACATGAAAGGCTGATGGCTTTAAAATGGAAAAATATGGGTACTAAAACATTAGTATTAGCAAGGAAACTTGGAAAGAACTTCAGTTTTAAGTGAAATAATTTCTAATGCATTTTGTGAAAGTAATTTGTTTTAATTAATGCTATTCTTTTAAATTAAGTTGTGTTGGGAAGCCCTTGCCTGTTGCCATCAATTTAATGTTGAGATAAAGGAATAGCTGATGCTTCTCATTAGAGTAGCAAAAAAATAAAAATGCAAAAACTCCTAAGGTAAACTGGCCACATTGAAGACCATACACATTTTCTCTTTGCACAGAGGCTTCACATCAGCTTGAGAAAAACAAACAGAACAAAGGCAGGAAACAGAAATAGCTAGACCTTGGTAATGAACTGTAGACAAGAGAGGAAAGATGATAAAGACAAATTAGCAGGTATACCTGTGCAGTGAGTAATGATTATTTTTCTGTGCCTGAGGTTTTAGCTTGCTTGCTTGCTTGCTTTCTTGCTTGCTTTCTTGCTTGCTTTCTTGCTTGCTTTCTTTCCTTGTTTCCAAAGATTACTAAGAGAAAGGCAGTAGCCGGGGTAGAGGATATAGGATGTGTGTGTGTCTGTGTCTGTTTTTTCTCACACACAGATGCACACACATACACACACTCAAAATCTTTCCACTGACTTTGGAGTAACTCATTTAACCCAACTGGAAGAGAATCTACAACTTCTTGCTTTTAACATTATAAATATTCCAAATGTTATAAAATCTATTGTAAAAATGTACATTCAGTGGTTTTATGAGGCACAGGACCTGCCAATGTATTTTCAGGGAAGCTCATGTGTACTCTGTTCTGTCCACTGTTGGACAATGGTGGAGAATCCAGGGGCTCACGCTTGATTGCTTGAACCAAGCAGGGGTTTTTAAATTCGCATGGCATTTTAAACACCTCGTTACTCTGCTCTTTCTCCTCCCCTGGACTGGGACTGTAGAAGTGGCCGTAGCATGCTGTGTGTGGCAGGTCGGGCATGCTTTCCAAACACCCAGAGGAGTTCTGAGGGCAAAATGGGGCCACCTCCTTGGTACGTGAACCCTTGCAAGATCTGTTCAGGTTTAGGTTGTTGGGATGATTTGCTACGATGCATTGCCAGTTATGAGGCGTGTAGAGGCAGTGCCTTGGCTTCTGACAAGGTGAGGCTGGCTCACAGAGGTCCGGTTCTGTTTTGAGATGCACTCTATTGGGGTAGCTAAACACCTGCTTTCTCACCGAGCCGTTCTCATCTAGCCAGGCTCGGTTTTGCGATGTCAGGTAGTTGTCAGCAATGTTTTCAGAATCAGAATCGTATTCCATTTTGATAGGCGTCTCCAAGGGAAAGGCTGTGTCATAGAGAGACTCTGAGGATATTAACGGTCTCTGCAGTTTCAGATGGTCCATTGCATAGTTCTCCGCACAACGCTGTTGTACGCCCGAGTAAGACTGGCAGCTTTCTGCACTTCCCCAGTGGGAAGGGCAAGTTGATGCTAAATTTAAGAAACTTTGGTCTCTGTTGTAGAATGATCCAGCTCTCCTGTTGGAACATGTGTTCATTCGCTGGCTCATAGAACAAGAGCTTGAGTTTCTTAAAGTCCAGCTACTGTTTGTGGTGCAGTTGTTTTGAACGCCTAAAACTGGTGTGTTAGAAGTGAGAGGTTCCTCTTGCATAAAACACTCACCGTTTGTATGAGGCTCAAACTTCACTTTTACGTTATCTTGTTCATTTTTTACTGCTGTCCAGTTAAGATGCTTCCACTGGCCCAGAGTTTCAATGGCACTGTTATAGGAAAGTCCCTCCAGGTTTCCCTTCAAACTGGCAAAACTGCTTGGTATCTTCAGTTGTTCATCTTCTTCCCTTTCAATAACAGTAGAAAAAAAATCAGTCAATCAGAGGTTTCTAAATGGATGTTTTCTGGGATACAAACGGAATGGCTCAACATACGTTACAAGGAATACCTTATCCTCAACTTAATATGGGACTCTCACGCTCTTGTCCATATAACATTTGCATTTGTTCCAGAGAAAAAAAGAGTGTGCATGCATCTGGGCGTGAATGTGTGTGCACAGCTACCTTTCTGTGGCACTGTTTCATTTAAATTCTGACATGCATTTACTCTTCCATTTCAGGCACACAGTTCACAAAGACCTTAAGTATTGTAGTACTGTATGGTAACTACCTTACACTTTTGTTCTTCCCTTAAAATGTATCTAAATTATATTTGTGTGCAGAAAAATCTAGAGATAAAATGCAAACAGTATCTTAAATGAGGTGTATTTTGTTAACAAGGAATTATTTAGACACATAAGAATTTTCTGATCAAAGTGATTTGAGGGGGAACCATGGGGGTCTTATATTTTGAGAATGCAGAGTTAGCCGAGGAAATAAAATGCCTGAATTAAGTGTCCAGAATAGTCACAGATGTTCATATTGGGCGTAGGTTTGTTTTACATGTCTAAATTCACGTTGTCTTTTGTTTTCTAAGATGGCCAGTGAATTCATTTTCCATGACCTCCAGCTGAAGTACTCAACATTAGTGAACTGCTCTGGCAGAGAAAGTTGCCTGAGCATTTCCATGCCCAATGCAGCAGTTTTCAGAACTTGGGGTCCAAATCTTCAGGTTCAGGATTTGTCTGTAATTCACGAACATGCTGATTCCCAACCAGGCAGGATCAGTGCAACAAACCCACCCCCTCCCTCTCCAGACAAGAAGTGGACATCTCAATAAGAAACTGAGCATGAAAACCTGGAGAGCTAGTAAGGGTTTCAGAATGCCTTTTCCTTAGCTCACTATTAGCAATTTTTTCCTTGGATATGAACTCAATGTGCAAGTATAGGATTTTCCAGTAGAGGGAGTCCATGTTGTTACAAAGAGAGAATGTCCTACTGTAATAAATGTACACCAATAAAGGAGAGTATTTTCTCTCTTTTTTCTCCATTAGGTATCAAATATTTTCAGTCCTTTGCTAAATATTTTTATTGTTATTTTTGATAGTCCTGAGATGCAAATGATATGATACAAGTTTGCTGCAGAACGAGCTTCTCAGGAAATAGTCTAATTGGGAAGCAATGGACTGAACAAAATGCAATAATCACAAAAGCTTAGACCCCCAAATTAAGAATTTTACAGTGAAATAGTATCTAGTGAAAATTCTCCAAAAGAATGTATGTTTCCAGGAATACAACATACATTTTAACAGAAAAAAAAAAGTAGTATTAAGGATGAAGGCTATTGCAAACTATCAGGAGGACAGAACTGAACATAATCTCCAAGGCCAACTCTTGTAACACTTCAGTCTGCAGGAACTATCAAGCACAAAGGAAGGATTTTAACCACTCAGAGGGTAAAAATCTAACTAAATAAACATCAAAGAATGTGCTTAATTACTCAAAAAACAACTTAGAAATAGAGACTTGAATACAAGAAACAGCCCTTTTTAATCTGCTTCTCAATAGCATGGTAAGATGACGTTTGTGCTGTCCCAGTAATGGTAAAGAGTTCCACCACTCTCAGGTGGGAGCTCCTCTGCCATTTACATGGATCCTGGGAGATACGCTGCCTGCAAGTGATATCTACTCTAGAAGTTCAAAGACTTTTTCATTTATTTCTTCCACCTGCAAGGCAGCCTAAAGGAGAAAAACAGTCATAACAGCCATGTTTTTTCCACTGGGCCAGATGGTGGCTGTGTACACCTCCTGGCCCCTGCTCATTCAGTCCACCCTCTTACCTCTTCCCTCAAACCAGCTTGAAGAGATACCTCAACAAGACCCATAGAAACTGGAACAGACAATATCATGGCGGGAAGGAAGAAAAGCCTATTTGGGAGGAAAGGGTAAAACCCAGCGGAGAGGTCCTCTCTGAATGCAAGTCTGTGAGATTAGCTTCCGCTCCAAGGCTGAGCCTACAGCCAACTAGATGTATCTACCTACAAACATACAATGGCTATGAGCATCCCTGTTTAGATTATGTTGAACAACCACAGCTAAAAACATGGGCTGAACTGTCATCCAGGGGAAAAAAAAAAAAGCTTAGCATAATCAAATGTTAAAAAGTAGAAAAAACAAGACACTAAATCAGTGAAGAGTTTCAGCTGCAAAGTAAAACAAAACCCCAATACATTTTTGTGCAAGAAAGTCAAAACATATTAACAATCAAGCATTTTGGTTTTGAAGTATTCTGTTTTAGTATGTATGCACACTCAACTTCGGAAGAAGAAAAGACTGAAGAAAAGAAATAAATATTGTTTAGGATTATAACAGCCATTTCATATGATCCAAGACAAAAATAGATTTCCATTTCATAAGTAAACTAAGTCCTGCTCATTCAGCTCTTCTCTTAGGTCACTACAGTCTTTTTAAAGACCTCATACAGAAAGAATACATTCATTTTTCTGAAATACGGGGTGGGGGGGTAGTATTGGAAAATATACTTACTTTAACATTTGCTGTTGGGCAAGGACATATTCTGAGCAACCACTTCGATAGAGAAGTTGAGTGTTAGCTTGAACCCAGACCCAGTGATCTTCATTTGTTTGTACTTTGACTAGAGAAATGCCATTTTCTCCATTATTCTTTGCTATACAATTTAAAAGAAAATCTATTTTAATACAAGCAGTATTTAGTATTTTTTCTTACCTAAACTACAGGTGAATGTTCACAGGTTTGTTTGCTGCCCTGGAATCATCAGCATAGGAAAGTACAAGCTAAAATATGTCACAAAACTAGGCAAACTACACTTAAAAAATAAAATTTGAAAAACCTCATGAGGCACTTAAGCTGTAACCAAGGATTTTTCATTATTATTAGTTCATTATAATTTTTCCCTCTCAGTAATAGTACTATACCAACAGGAAAATGTTCATGAAAAATGGGGCTATGACAGAGGAATAGTTTTAAAGAAGTTAAAGGTTTCCAGCAGGTATGACAGAAGGCTGAGTACAACTCTACTCAAGAAGAAGTTGCCCATTGGGGTAGACTCACCATCAAAATTTTATCCATTGTAAAATCTGAAATACAGCATAGGCTCTCATAATATTGCCACAGCCAAACACTGGAAAAGCATGAGTCAAAGCTGCAAGCAAATCATGAGTTTTAAAGACAATACAATCTAATTTTCCTCTGTTTTCTGATCTTTGGGGAAAACTAGCATTTGTAACATGTCATCCAGTTTTCCTCAAAGAGGGATAGATATTGTCATTAATTATTAAGATTTTCACATAATCTTATTAAATTCAGTTCTGCCATTTTTAGGAAAGCATATATTGAGCATTCTTATTTACTATGATTGTTTATATATCTGTAAACTTGGCATCACAGTATTTCTGCCCACTCTGAAATAGCAGACTGATCAGTACGATATTTTGAGGCAGACAATTTTTTTTGCATTTTTTTAAAGAAGGAATTTTAGAGAGGAAAAAAAAAGAGAGCATTGGGACCAAAACCCGAAAAAACTAACAGGAGAAAAGAAAATACAAGGTTCTTTCTCCATAAACTGTATATAATCCAGAAGTACTTAGCAGACACACCTTTGATTTGGTTTTCAGCAATCTGTAACACATTAGTGAAAGCGGCACCTTCATGATGACTGTTTCTTCCATATAATTCTGCTGCTTCACACAGCCCTGAATTACCTTTGGAACTGGAGCTGGAGAGGACAGAAAATGTGGAAAATTCCATGTGAATGAATGGCAACACAGTAAAACCACAGACTCTGAAAGGTGTGATCTTCAAGCTGTTGACCATTAGCAAAGACTTATGGTTTTATATAGTAACTAACACTAAATAATTATGTATGTTTCCTGCATCATTCGGTTGCTCCAACTAGTGTATGACTGGAATTCTGAATTCAATTAAAAGGAATAGTTATATTTAGAACTATTCTGCTCACAACTCACTATATCTGGAATAATAAGTTTCAGCTTGAATTGAGACAAATGTGTATATTCTGCTCTGCCTATTCAAGGTACATTCAAGTTACGTACATCACACTGACCAGCAATGACCTTAAGAGTTAGCATGACTTCAACGTGCAGTAAACGTCATATGATTTGAATTAATTTCTTCCAGTCTTTTGTTCAAAATGCATGTTAGGGCTTGGAAAGGGTGCAAAGTCCATAACACTGCTTTACAAATTTTTCCCTTTTTTAAGACCATCAGAAAAAAAGTGACTATATAAATTTACCCACCATCCCTGGCTAGTATGCTTCAGGCCTGAACCAAAGGAAACACTGAAGTTAAATGCCCGCTTCATTCTTGTCAAATCTTTGGCCACTGTCCAGTCAGTTAGTAAAACTTAAGTAAAGCACCTCTCTTCTAGGAGCTGCATTCCGATCATCAATTAATTTCACCTGGGCCACTGAAAAACTAGCAAGTGGAAATGACTTTCCAACTCTGTTCCAAAAGCCTGCATAGTCCATTATATCAGCCCTTCAGTAATTTAATTCTTGTCAAAAGGATGTATATGCTAGAACCACATTACATGTCTGGATAGTAATCCACACATACATAAGCATATTCTAATTAAAAGCCAAATTACGATGCTGTCAGTCACACTGATGAGCATTTTGCTTCACAGCAATGGACCTTATCACCGTAAGGTTATATTTAACCAAATAAGGGAAAACATAATCCTAGCCCCAAACATCAACTAAAATTCAATCATAGAAGAGTAACGAAAATAAGTGTTAGGAAGGAAATGAGTCTGAACACAAGCTGTCCTGATCTTCTGTGATTGCTACCGAGTGATCAGCCCCAGGCTATTTAGTGCAATTGTAGACTTATGTGTTCATAAGCCTTCTGTTGTAAGATAAATATATACACCAAATACATCTCATTTGACTCTGTGTGAACACACACACATGCACATTCAGCTTTCTGCAGTTTTCCTTTTCCTTTGTTTGCTACCAAAATGCCCAAGTCCAAACAATTGTGCTACTAGAAGGTACTGAAATTTGAGAACTCTTGGTAAAAATGCTTTTTTTTTTCCACTTTTAAAACTAGTAGAATGACTTATTGCATTAGTAACTTCGGAAAGTTAGGAAGAGATCCTAACCTTCCAGTTTTTATATAAGATTATATATATAGTAATA